CAATCATTTTTCTAACTCATTCAAGTTCAAGTCGTTTTTGCTTTATTGTCTTTGTTTGAGAGTATAGAGGAAGCCAACACGATGATGAGTTATAATTATTTCACCGCAGTACTATGTAAGGTATATTTTTGTTCCCTCGACAGTAGGGAGGGCTATGTGAAAAAAGAGAAAAGCGTTTTTCTGTATGTTTTTGTGACAAGGTCAGAAAAATATCAACGGTGATTTTATTTATAACGGTTGATGCAAGTAAATTGAGTTCGAAGAATTCAAATCTGAAGTCGGTTTCTAAAAATTTTGAGTTGAATGTTTTGGGTTCAGGAAAGGATTTTTGAGGAAATAATGGTACTCCCTCGGCTTAAGAGAGGTTCGTATAATATAAAATAAGTTTGTATGTGTCAGAATCAAAAGAACATCGAAGTCAGAAAATCATCTGTCAAAAGATCGATGGTTAGTTGTTTTCCACATCTAGCTTTTGTAAGTAGGATCCGATAATACAAATAGTTCTAGAGAAAAGTGAAAATTTGAGAGGAAGAAGAAACATCCTCGGCCTGCAGTATAAAAGGATTAGGGATGAATTTCATTCCATTATGACAACCGATTGCAAGATGCTTGATTAAGTAAATCTTAGAAATTCAGCATGAAAAATAATACGGTCCGCATCTTTTGCAAAATAGTCATCACTGATAATACTATAGACAAATTTTCTTCTGTGCATATCTTGCGTAATAGTGGTCAAAGCAGAATTCAGAAAATGATCATAACTGAAAACAAGATTGAATTCAGTCGATGATTGAGCGAGTGAAGTCGACAAGAAACCCCTGACATACAGTCATTATTGTTGTGCAACTACCATCCAATAGCAACATAACAAGTAGAATATCAATGTTAAATACTATAAAATATGAATTTTTAGGTTTGTTAATAGATACTTTTTTACTATTAGCAATACATACAAGCATTTTGTGGCTAATAGTCAATAACAGGTGATTTCAGTATCTGACTGGTGCCAAGCTCATGCTCGATCTCCAGGTGTTTCAATAACACATTTTTCACGCCATTTGGTTTATCATCGAAAAAAATTCAGGCATCATTTGGTTCTAGATACCAAATGGCTTTGTCAGTTATTAACTTGCATTTATGAAAAGGATATTTCTCAGTTTACATTTCATTCATCTAAGAAAATAAAAGTAGTGAAGTTCATGGCACATAAATATCACTATCCTATGTGAAGCTAATTACTCAGAATATCGTATCAGAAGACGTTGATATTGTTCCGTTGCTGTTTTCTTTAGGGTGTGGGTATGTGGATGTCGGTGTAGCTGTGGGTGTGGGTGTCGGTGTCGGTGTGGATGTTGTGGGGTGTGGGAGTGGGGTGTGGTTGTGAATGCTGTGGGGGGTGTGTGTGGAGGGCTGTGAGAGTGGGATATCGGTGTTAATAAAGAGAGGAGCTACACCCACAACCAAACAGGTACTCATACTCTTATCCACACATCCCACCCGCACTCACACCCACAGCCCCACACCCACACCCGCACCCACACGCGCACCCAAACCCATCCACACTAACACCCACACCTACACCCAGCCACGCCACCGATCCACCCACACCCATACCCCAAGATTCATCGAAATTATTACACACTCAATGCGACTTGTTTTTTCGTAAGATAATGGAAATGAAAACTTGAACGTAAATTGCTCGACTGATTGGAGGAAGATTCTCAGAAACAGCCCTCTATTGGTCAACATAGGGAATCGACTTTTGATCTTCTTCCAACTCGGAGGCAGACGGTGCGATGGTCAAGTACCTCGTATACATGTATGTCATGAGAAAATCCTCATATGACAATGGCTGGTTGAGTAGACCAGGTTGTGGATGTGCATCTGTTTGCGTTTAGTCTGATTGTCAGTTGTGTATAATTTCTTGGTGCTGTACGAGAGCGTTCACTACAAAAGCATTAGTAAACAATGAACACTTATTATTAAAAGAAAAAATAAGGCGTACATCAAAAGAAACAGAAAAAAAGAGAAGCAGATTACATAGATGGTATTGAAAATATTTTTTTCTCTATCATTAGTGTGCAGATGCATCTGACGCGAATACTTTGTATACATCGGCTTGTTGGTGAACGATTGACTCTACAGTATTTAATCGACTTCTTCGATGGTGGGTCCCTTATTGCCACTTGATTCAGATCCAGCATCATGCCTGTGTGCTTCACCACCATAAACTTGGGGAAATAATTGGAGAGCACACTTTTTCGACCTCTTTTAACTTATGTTCGAATTCTTCTTTGTCGGCCAAATTATTAGATTCCATCCATTTGACTGTCGCGTTGATTGTTTCAGTTATTTTTGACTTGTCGTCTGATGAGATCTGCGCACTTACTATATCATTATTCAAAGTTGCCTTCATATTGAAGCAATAGGATTCAAGTGAATTCTTAGCTGAAATACGATCACGTTGTGCTTCATCTTCTTTCTCGTACTTCTTTGCATCGGAAATCATTCTGTTGATTTCATCTTGTGACAAGCGACCCTTGTCGTTTGTAATTTTAATTGTGTTTTTTTGACCTGTCGATTTGTCTACAGCCGATACATTGAGAATACCATTAGCATCAATATCGAAAGTGACTTCGATTTGTGGAATTCCACGCGGTGCAGGTGGAATGCCAGAAAGTTCAAAGTTTCCTAGGAGATGGTTGCCTTTTGTCATCGCTCGTTCACCTTCATATACTTTGATATCAACACCAGTTTGATTATCTGAATACGTAGTGAATGTTTGAGTTTGTTTCGTTGGAATAGTCGTATTACGTCTGATAATCGGAGTCATGACACCACCAGCAGTTTCAGTACCCAATGAGAGTGGTGCTACATCAACCAAGAGCACAGATTTGACTTCTTCCGATTTATCACCGGTAAGAATAGCTGCTTGAACGGTAGCACCGTACGCAACAGCTTCATCTGGATTGATGGCTTTGTTCAATTCTTTTCCATTGAAGAAGTCTTGAAGTAATTTTTGTACTTTGGGAATACGACTTGAGCCACCAACAAGAACGATTTCATCAATATTTGATTTGTCCATTTTAGCATCACGCAAAGCTTTTTCGACTGGTTCGAGTGTCGATCGGAAAAGATCGGCATTGAGTTCTTCGAAACGAGCACGAGTAATCGTTACATTGAAATCAATACCTTCATGGAGTGAATCGATTTCGATCGTTGCTTGTGATGTTGATGAGAGTGTGCGTTTTGCACGTTCACAAGCTGTGCTCAGCCGACGAAGTGCACGTTTGTTTTGTGATAGATCTTTATTGTTCTTGCGTTTGAAGTATTGAACGAAATGTGTTACCATTCGATTGTCAAAATCTTGGCCACCCAAATGTGTATCTCCAGCAGTCGATTTGACTTCGAAAATACCTTCTTCGATTTTGAGTACAGACACATCGAAAGTTCCACCACCCAAATCGAAAATAAGAACGGTTTTTTCACCTGCTGTTTGTTTGTCTAATCCATAGGCAATAGCAGCTGCCGTCGGCTCGTTGATGATTCGTAGCACATTGAGACCGGCAATGACACCGGCATCTTTCGTTGCTTGCCGTTGTGCATCATTGAAGTAAGCTGGAACAGTGACGACAGCTTCAGAAATTTTTGTACCGAGATAGGCTTCAGCAACTTCTTTCATTTTAGTCAGAACCATCGATGAGATTTCTTCTGGTGTAAATGTTTTTGTTTCACTTTTATATTCAACTTGAATCTTTGGTTTCCCACTATCGTTGATGACTTTGAAAGGCCAATGTTTCATATCAGATTGAACTGTTGCATCGTCAAATTTGCGACCTATAAGTCGTTTTGCATCGAACACCGTATTATTTGGGTTCATAGCCGCTTGACTCTTTGCGGGGTCGCCAATAAGACGTTCACTATCAGTGAATGCAACATAAGACGGGGTTGTTCGATTACCTTGATCATTGGCAATGATTTCGACTTTACCATGCTGAAAAATGCCGACACATGAATATGTAGTGCCTAAATCGATACCAATAGCTCGTGCCATTTTTATTTGTAGTTGCTGTTGAAATGTGATGAGTATTGGTAGAAAATGAAGAATTATAATAGAAAGTGACTGAAATTGTATTCTTTATATACTTGACACAAAACTTGCTGTGAGCAAACACTACCAAACAGCAGAACGGAAGAAAAGGAGGATGATAGAAGAAACAAGAACATTCCACAAAAAAGAGAACAATATCGAATGAAGCGTCATCAACATGTCGTCTTGTGAAATTTCTAGGAAGAGTCATGATTACTCATAGGAAATATGCAGCTGGCAAAATGTATCATAGTCATTGAGTTCGCGTATAGAGTATTCAATCGAATGCAAGAGAAAAATAGGTAGAAAAAGAAATGTACATAAACAGAGCACGTTTTTTCTCGTAGCCGACCAATTTTGTATCTTGTCAACAATGGATTTTTACGATTATCTATCTTACTGACATGACATCATGACAGGATTTGTGCGTAGGTGTGGGTGTTAGGTTTTTTAAGTGAAGATAAAACCCATACTCACCCACATTCACTTACACCCACAACATAGAATTATTATCGGTTTTTCCATTAGATAGCAATCTTAACGGTGCATTCCCTTATGATATTTCATAGCTCCGTGAATATACAATAAAGCCTTAGGAAAATTTTGCGGCATAACATACGCATATAATCAAATAAAATGTACTAGCGAGAAATCATTTAGATCCACTTCCAGTTTTTCGGGTTAATCTTACCGAAAAGTTGCAATTCCCTCATATGTATATATAAATGTTGCGTATTCCTTATCTAGGCAGATGGTCAATATTGTTTGAAGCTATATGTTTGGTGTTGTAAGAATGATTAAATTGCACACATGGTATTCGTTATCTCTACACAAAAGTATGAAATAGCTCTGTGTCTGCCTTTTATTACAACAATTCACATACCAGCATGCATACAACACGCATCTAAAAATGATTAATACATCTACACAATTTCCTTCGTTGCCAACGGTGAGTTACCTATCGTTTTTTGTTAATGAAAAACAAATCGTTGAACATCATGTTGAACCCGATTGGACTCTGCTATGGTATCTTAGGAACAGTAAGTTGTACCCAAGTAACAAGACAATTCTATTCGTATCACTTTAGAATTGGGTCTAACCGGCTCAAAATTGAGCTGTGGTGAGGGTGGCTGCGGAGCATGTACAGTGCTCATATCCCAACGTGTTGATTCAAATTCAAGTCAAATTGAACATCGCACAATCAATGCTTGCTTGACTCCAGTCTGTTCTATCGATGGCTGTCATGTGGTAACTGTCGAAGGATTAGGCTCAGTATCGAAATCGAATCTTCATCCAATTCAATCTCGTCTTGCCGAAATGTTCGGTTCACAATGTGGATTTTGCACGCCGGGTATGGTCATGTCTCTCTATGGAACAATCACATCAATCAACAATCAATCGTCACTGACAATACAGGACATTGAAGAAGCACTTGATGGAAATCTTTGTCGCTGTACAGGTTATCGACCGATTCTGGATACAGCGAAAAGTTTCGCAGAAGATATTCATAAACAGTCTCATCGGGATGCATCACCACTGGAAACAACATCAACTACCTTCGACAAATGTGTAGCATTTGCCAAGCATAACGGATCAGCAACGGCTCAAGTTGACTTCCCTCAGCAGCTGTACCATCATGTTGCACAATCTATTCACATTCAAGGTTTGTTCTAAAGCACTGATTCAGCTATTCACATGTTTACTACTGTCTGTCTAGGCTCTTTCGTCGAATGGTATCGTCCGGTGACTCTCGATGAACTTCTTCGTCTTCGTCACATTTATCCTGGTAATGCATAGAAACTCGTCTTTGGTAATACTACAGTGCAAATTCAAACAAATTACAAGCAGATCAAATATCCTCGTTTCATCGATATAACACATATTAAAGAATTGCAACAACTGAGACGAACACCAACCTCATTGATGATTGGAAGTGGTGTAACATTCACGCGTTTGAAATCGAAACTGATCGAATGGAATGACGCAGATATTGATGGTGGTGTTTGCCAGGCCCTCATTGATCAATTGAGATACTTTGCCACACCACAAGTACGCAATGTTGCTTCACTAGGTGGCAGCATCGTCAATGCATCACCAATGTCAGTCACCATTGCAGAGAAATTGCCAATAAATTGTTTATTTCTAGGTCGGATATTAATCCAGTGCTTCAAGCTGTTGATGCGTCACTCGAACTGCAGGGAGCCAACGGTAATCTGGTGCGTGATGTGTCAATTCGTGACTTCTTTATCGGCCATCATCGTGTGGCGATGAACGACGATGAAGTGCTCGTTGCTATCCATATTCCACTACGGAAACCTTTATGTAAATCATTTATTCGAGCATACAAACAAGCTCGACGACGATGTGCTGATCATGCAGTTGTCACTGCTGGTCTTCAAGTTGAAGTTGAACTATCAGATTCTGAAAGTGGCCAATGGCGAATTGTTTCAACATGTCTTTCATTCGGTGGAATGGGACCGACAACAGTGATGGCAAAAATAACACAACAAGAACTCGTTGGGCGATTGTGGACAAGAGCAACCATTAATAAAGCATGTGAGTCAGTCCTGAAAGAATTGCCTCTCGATGAAATGAGTCCTGGTGGTCAGCCGGAATATAGGTATGAGATGATGCTCGAAAATTCTAAAACACGACTTAATTGTTACTTTCAGACATACTCTCGTTCAATCCTTTCTCTACAAATTTTATGGTTACGTCTCTACAGAACTCCGGCAATCATCCAATGATCGAGAAAATCTGCGATTTGGATATCCTTACCAACGAGCCGTATCGCATGGTCAACAGACAATACCAGAAAGGCAATCTTCCCAAAAAGTGGTCGGCACATCATTGCCTCATCGATCTGCCTACTTGCAAACGACTGGCGAAGCGAAATATACTAATGACATTCCGTGTTTACCTAATACTTGCCATGCTGCGCTAGTTCCATCTACGCAGCCCAACGCTCAAATAAAAAATATCGGTAATACATCTTCTCATTTTTTTTCTACTGACTCGTGTCTCTTGTCGAATAGATCTTAGCGCTGCTTCACGTGTATCTGGATTTGTATCTTTTGTCAATCATACCGACGTACTCGGTCGAAATGACATCGATCAGACTCTTCCTAATGAAGAACTATTTGTCTCGTCGACTGCTCCATGCGTCGGAGCCGTAATCGGTGTTGTTGTGTGTGAAACAGAGCGAGCAGCACATGAAGCTGCACATCACGTTCAAATCGAATATGAACTGTTGACACCAACCATCTTGACGATTGAAGATGCCATTCAACATGAATCATATTTAGGCAGCGAATATCGACTTCGATGTGGTGATACGAAGAAAGCTCTGGATGAAGCTGAACACACCCTCGAAGGAACATTGCTAATTGGCGGTCAAGAACACTTTTATCTCGAAACACACTGTTGTCTCGCCATACCATCGAATGATGATCAAGAATTGACATTGTATGCAGCAACACAAAATGCCGGCAAGATTCAAGAATTAGCCGCATTGGTGTTAGGTCGTGATGAGAGTCACATCACATGTCACGTTAAACGAGTTGGAGGTGGATTCGGCGGCAAAGGATCAAGATCGTAAGTGAATGTGTCAGGTTTTTCTGCTATTTTATAGTGAGAGTGAAGGAAAATGTTTGTCAGATGAAATGACACATGAAGAGAAAAGTTCCGCAACATTTTATCTAGACTAAGAATGAGTTGGAAAGTAGTTACAAATAGAATGCTCGAAAACGAGAAGAGGCATCCTGAGAAATAGAAGAACCGTTCAATCGAATCTCAGGAGCTATATATAATATAGGATTTGTATTTGACAAGTTCTAAACTGCTGAAAGTTCTCTTTCTCTCTCTCTCT